GTCTTAGTGTTTGAAGGTTTGATTGTGTGTACCTAAAGTTGAGGTTACTCTCTACTGTCTTGCTTTATTCCTTATCTCTGTGGTTTGGTGCTGCTGCTTTTCTGTTAAGGTTGGGTGTCACTTTCCTGTTGTGCGGAAATCCCTTGCAGAATCTTTTGTAATGGTGGCTTGTGGTCAACAATATTGGTTTAGTTTTGCTACATGGAAGATCTTTATTGCTCCATTATTTTGAATGATAGTTTTGCTGGGTGAGTATCCTGGGGTTGAAGTTAATTTTTTATTCAGTGCCCGCAAGATCTCACCGCCATGCTCTTCCTTGCTTTTAATGTTTTCTGTTGAGAAGTCTGCTGTGATTGTTATGGGTTTACCTTTGATGTTAAGTTTTTTCCTCATTACAGCCTTCCAATATTCCTTTCCTTAGTTTCTGAACTTGTTGTTTAATGATGATATGTTCGTGGAGTAGTTCTATTTTTGATCTGGTCTGTTGGTGTCCTGGAAGGCCTCTTGCATTTGTCAGGGAATATCTTTCTCTAGATTTGGAAATTTTCCGTTATTATTGTTGAATATATTACGCATTCCTTCGGTTGCACCTCTTCTCCTTCTTCGATGTCCATGATTCTGCAAGTTTGGTCTTTGATGGAGTCAGTGAGTTCTTGCATTTTCTTTCAACAGGTCTTGAGTTTGTTTAATTAATAGTTCTTCGGTTTTTCCTTTAATTACCATTTCATCTTCAAGTTCTGAGATTCTGTCTTCTGTTTGTTCTATTCTGCTGGATTGGCCTTCGTTTTGGTTTTGCAGTTCTGTTTCGTTCTTTTTTCTGAGGTTTTCAATATCCTGGCGTTTTTCTCTTTATAATGTTGTCTATTTTTTGTCCTGAGTTCATTTATCATTATCATTGTGTTCTCTTTCACTTTTGGTGTTTATACAGTGCTTCTATGGTTTCCTTTTATTTCTTCTTTGCTTTTTACATTCTCTATTTTTGTCTTGGAATTTCTTGAGTGTCCTCCTAATACATTTTGGTTGACCCTATCCAGTATCATCTCTGATAAATCTATTGAGTACTTGTAGTATGTCTTCTTTTAAATTATTCTTGTGGGGCTTCATTGGGTCCTTTGGCATAGTTTATCTTCATTTTGTTGGAGTCTGAATCTGAGTTTCTTTCTCTTCATTCCCCTCTGGTTCCTGTACTAATTTTTTGCTGTGGGGAAACTGGTTTCCCCTGTTTTTTTCTGTCTTCCGTCATTGTCTTGGTGTTGTTACTGTCTCCTGACGTGTGTGTAAAGAAGTATTTTCTAGCTTGTATAATAAAATGGTAATTTAGAATGGAAGAGTGAGCTGGAGATGGAAGCAAGAAGTTAAAGAAAAGGGGAAAAAATATAACAGACAAGAGGGAGAAAGCAGAACAAGGTATCAGAACAAGAGAGTTTCAAAGGTATAAACAAGAGTGTTAGATGTACTAATCGATAGTAAGCTGAACAGACATTAGAGAGACAGAGAGAGGATTGAAAATCAAAGATAAAAATAATAAAAAAATAAGTATGAAAGAATACCTATTATATAAAAATGATTAAAATAAAATGAAAATAGAAAATTAAAAAAAAAAAAACCAAAAACTTCCAAGTTATATGCAATGCAGTTTCAGTCTTAATAATTTGGTTCTGTCTCCAATCGTCCAGTCCTGGATGGGTGCCTCAGATGTTGTTCTGTAGTTGTCTCATCAAAGGGGACAATGCATAAAGTAAACACAAACTACACAACACACACACACAAAAAAACACCACACACCCACCCAGTGTCCCCAGTTCAAATGCAACACAGTTTCAGTAAGTTTTTACGGCTTGCAGGTGTAATTCGGTTGTTCTCTCATCAAAGTAGGAGAAAAAAGAAAAAAAACATTCTGGAGACAGTTCTGAGAGTGGGTATCGTGCCAAACTGTGGGCTTGCCTGCCTGCTGCTCTCCAGCCTGTAGCTGGCGGCATTATTTATGCAGATCTTCTGGGTGAGCTAGCAACTCACCTGGTCCCACAGGCTTTGTTTTGCTCAGAGTTCTCCCTGTGGGGAGCCTCTGCTACAGACTTTCCCCTTTCCAAGCACTGGAAAGGTGACACTGCCCCGCCGTTGTCAGGCCTGCGTGTTTATTTACAGTTCATGTGGGAGGTGGGTCTTCCCCCCTCTCCTCTGAAGTTTTCCTCCCACTGCCACTTTCCAGAAGCTTTCCTGCTCCTGCTTTACTGCGGCGGTGCGCTGCCTCTTTCGCCGCTGCCATGTTTGCTTAACAGTTACGTGGGGAAAAGTGGTCCTTCCCTACCTCTCACAAGTTTTTCACCGCTCCTGGTGCTTGGGCTCTGCGCCCCACTCACCGCCAGAGGCTCCCGGCACTGCCCTGGCCTTGGTTAATTTACAGTCGCCCGGGAAGGAATTCCTTCCCCCCAACCTCGTTCAGCGCTGCAGGGCGCCCCAACCCTGCTTCCAGCATGTTCTTAATGTCTTATTGCTTAGTACTCAGTTTCTCTTTTTTTTCCCGGGTGGAGGTCAGTCCGTCCCAGGGGCTATGCTGCTCTGGCCCAGGCTTGTCTGTGGGGCTACCGAGTAACTGTGAAGCTCACCTGGTCCGCGTCTTCCCAAGCCATATGGGCGCCGGCCACTGGCGGCCCGGGGGCCCTCCTCGTTTCTCTTTTTAATGTGAAGTGGAGATTCTCTGCACCGGCTGGAGATGTGGAGGGGTCAAAGTTATGCCTTTTCTCAGTGATTATGCCTGCAAAGTGTGTCTCCAGCGTCTCTCCAAGATTTCACTATAGGAGGGTCACTTTCTGCTTCCTACCTCTAGCCGCCATCTTGGAATCCTATGATAGACTCTTGATAGGTGACTTTTCAGCATTTCTGTCAGAATATGAATTCTAGTGATACTTTAATATTTCTGATTTGCCTCTGAGGTTGCCTAATCATGTTAAAAATTGGTCCAATGAATTACAACTTGATCATTTTAATTTTCAGTGGGTAGAAGAAACAGCTAAGAAGTAAAATTTCAGAACGAATAGTCATGCTTCTTTCTATGAGGGCTATAATGATCCTAAGTCCATCAGTTATAGAATTGTCATACTAGATAAAGAAAAGGTAATTGTATGAGATATCACTAACTAACTGATATTAGCACCATCACAATAGTAGCAGTTTATGTGGTGTTTCATATGTTCTTTTCCTGCCTGGGGCAGGGATGGGAGGGTGAGTAGGAGGGAGCGCACATCTTTACCCAATAGTGATGCTGTTTCATATGCTGAGTACATCCAATCTTAGAGTGTTTCTGAATTTTCTTTTTAAGAGGGATAGATTAAGTGGCTTAGTGCTCGGATAAAAGCACATTTTCTTCTAGAAGAATGTTCCTCCAGAACATTCCTCACAGTGGACACACAAAAGTCCTTTTTAGTCAATAATCTGGAAAATTGTGTACCATGTAGACAAATATGACAAAATGCATCCTAGTCCAACAAGTCTTGCTACCTCAGCTTGTGAAATGAGAGCATCACTCAGCAGATACCCCTGGAGTATCTGATATGAATCAGATACTGTTTTGAGCATCTTCCTGCAGACTGGTAGTGATTCCTGCCCCTGTTGAGCTTTCATTTAGGGTTGGAGGGGAAAAAATAAACTAGGAAACATGTAAATAAATGATGTCATTGCAGATGATGTTATGATGATGGCTATGAAGGATGTATACAGAGGAGGTGACAGATTAACTGGAGCCAAGTAGTAGTCCATTTTAGATAAACACTCAAGAAAGGCTATTCTGAGAAGGGGATATTTGAGTTGACTTCTGAAGAATAAACATGATATACCCCCAAAAATGGGTAAAGAGCATTTCCAATAAGAGAAACTGCAAATACAAAGGTCCTGAGACATGGTTAACCTCAAACTGTTTGAAGAACAGAAAGCAAAACATAGTTACTACTGTACAAATAAGTAAGAAAGAAAGTAGCAAAGACTAAGGTTGATGATACAGGCAGGGACCAGATCCCAAGGGGCCTTTATAGACCACAGTGAAGAGTTCATATTTTCTTTTACATTTACTAGGCCAAATTCTTTTCTGGAGCCTTTGTTTGTCATTGTGTTGTGTAAGTACCGAAACCAAAGATAGAGAAAGCAGCTGCCTAACCATTAACACTCCTGAGTCAGGGTGATATGCTAAAACAGATGAGCTCCTGTAGAGAAAAATGTTGGTAATAATAGCTTGTATTTGAGGGCACCTGTCTCCAAGGAGAGCAACATCATTTATGATACCATATCCCACTAATCTCAGTAACCTCGTGAGTTAGTTATGGAACACAACGGGAAACATTTTAAATTGAGTTGTTCTTTGACTTCTTAAATAGCAAAAAGGTCTAGATAAAACAGAGTTTGTCAAGGAAATAAAAAAAAGAAAGAACTAAAGTGAGAAAGAAAAATAGGTATCTGGAAAGTCAAAGACTTACATAGAAAAGGGCAGCAAAGCAACCTTTATTTTCTTGCAAAGTCAAGAAAATAATAGTTGAGGGGTCAAAAAAATACGAAACTCTCAGATGGTCAATCAGACAACCAACAAGTATGGTTTATTCCTGATATTTAACTCAATGTAGAATAGAGCCTATATGGGAAGTTCTATACATGGACTTGGTTTAGGAAACCCTGGATTCTAGTCCAGGTTCTTCCATATACTACATCTGTGATCTTGGATGTTGATTTTTCCTTTTGTTAAATGGTTTTAGTAACAGAATGCACCTCACAGAGTTGTTAGGAGGAATGAATAAATAAGTAGGTGGAAAATGAGATTGTGTTTTTATATGTAACCTAGCTTGAGCTGGCCCCACAGTCTTCCAAAAAGATAATATTTATAAAAGTGGGTTTGTTGCCAATGTTGCCCACAGGAAGCCTCCTGAACATGTAATATTGATTAGGCTATTTTTGATTCTTGCCTAGGTTTTGTTCCTGGAAACAAAGAGTAATGTCATAGTATGATATAAGAAGCAAAAGAGGATAAATACAGAATTGCTGACCCTAGGCAAATTTGTCTTTGGCAATCTTCACATGCTTTTCCTCTCCCTGTTTTTAAAGCCATTAATTTTTCTAGAACTTTTTCAACCCTACCCTGCCTTTCCCAATACTTCATAGATTAAACTTTCTTTGTTTATTTCCTTGGCTGTTCAAAGCTCATATTCTACAAATCCATACTTTCTGACTTGTTAAGTGGTTATAATCTGATTGAATTAGGTCACTCTTCACTATAAGTGACTAATAACAAAGTAATGCCTTTGAAGTTATTTGTGGTTTAAAATGGTATTTCTGTAATTCTAAAATAATACCTCAATTATAGAGTTTCATTTGATATGACCAAATCAGGTAAGAAAAGTTCAGACAATTGGAGAAAGAATATTGAGGCTTGAAATCAGCACCTGGGAAAACTCTGAATATACTTTCCTTTTACTTTAAAAGAATAATTATAAAGATTTTCACAATGATTCTCATGGCAGCAGCATTAGGAATTATGAAAGAAGGTCAGAAGCCAGTTCTATGAATGAGTCATTCGTAAATTGAGTGTACATTAACCTAGAAGTATTAATAAGGCTTTTTGTTATCTATACAAAGATGTCCAGGAAAGAGATTCACTTTTCAATGTCAAACAAGACCTAGCATAAGACTTCGGTCCCTTACTTTCTACCACTAATAAAATAGGGTAATGATTGCCAGGTCCTTAGAAAAGTGATAGGTTTTTGTTTTGTTTTACTTGTTGCACAGAGAAAATGGCTGACACCAATACTTGGTACAAAAAAGGAGCTCAAAGAATTCTTGATGAATATTGGATAAACAAATGGAAAAATGAATAACAAGGAAATAGCAAAATACTGACAACCACACTACTAATATTGTATGTGGGTGTATTTGAGATTCCATTTACATCCATCTTATTTTCATTTAGTATACAGAATGAACTTCTAACCCTATATGCTTAATGACGAAATTTATGTGATCAGTAAATAATATAATGCTTCATCTTTTATTTGTTTAAAAATCACATATTTTAGGTCCTTTCAATGAGGTAAACAGATCTAAGTTTTACTGCTTGTGAACATATTTTTCATCTGTACATTAAAGGTTCTCTCAGATCATAACAGCATAGGGAAAGGTTCTCATGGAGAGCTATCTAAAGCCAGTCTTTATGCATGTGTGTGGTAACCCTGGGTCACATAAAATGTATAGTCCACATGCAACAAAAGATAAGGTGTGTGGGTTCGCTTTAGCACCTGTCTTGACTTGCAAACATAATTAAATCTAACAATAGAAAATGTATTTTAAGTCTTGATAGCAATTTTTTTGCAACTGTAGGATTGACATGGACAATCTAATGTTGCTTTATTTGGTAGAGTTTTGGGCTCACTCACTTTCCCCTAGTGAAGCATTCACTTTATGTAGACTTTCTTTTGATCCTCAGAAATGACAGTGTTGGTGTTAACATTTATAGACTACTGACTTTGGACAGGCAATATGTTAAGTGTTTTATATGCATCATCTTAATCTTCAGAAAGCCCTGGAAGATAGGAATTTTTTGGCCAAAAAAATGCTTACCATCTCTAGCAATAAAGGAAATGCAAATTAAAACCATACTAAGATTCCACCTCAGATTCCACCTCACCCCTGTTAGAATAGCCATCATTAAAAACACCACTAACAACAGGTGTTGGTGAGGATGAGGGGAAAAAGGAACCCTTTTACACTGCTGGTGGGAATGTAAACTAGTACAACCACTCTGGAAAAAATTTGCAGGCTTCTTAAAAATCTAAACATAGATCTACCATATTATCCTGCAATACCACTCTTGGGGATATACCCAAAAGAATGTGACACAGGTTACTCCAGAGGCACCTGCACACCCATGTTTATTGCGGCACTATTCACAATAGCCAAGTTATGGAAACAGCCAAGATGCCCCACTACTGACAAATGGATTAAGAAAATGTGGTACTTGTACAGAATGGAATTTTACTCAACCCTGAAGAAGAATGAAATGTTATCATTTGCAAGTAAGTGGATGGAACTGGAGAACATCATTCTGAGTGAGGTTAGCCTGGCCTAAAAGACCAAAAATCGTATGTTCTCCCTCATATGTGGACATTAGATCAAGGGCAAACACAACAAGGGGATTGGACTTTGATCACATGATAAAGTGAGAGCACACTTGGGAGGTGTGAGGATAGGTAAGACACCCAAAAAACTAGGTAGCATTTGTTGTCCTCAATGCAGAGAAACTAAAGCAGATACTTTAAAGTGACAGAGGCCAATAGGAGAAGGAGACCAGGAACTAGAGAAAAGGTTAGTTCTAGAAGAATTAATTTAGAAGGTAACACACATGCATAGGAAGGCAAT